ATTATGAATAAAGCCACTGTGAGTAATCACTTACAAGCCTCTGCCTAGAAGTGTGAAGGGGACGCACGGAGAAGGACAAGCTCCTGGCCCTCTAGGGCTTCATCCCTCACACCAGACATGCCCGCCGAGCTCCCACTTGAGATAACGTCCTCATCAGTGGTTGAACATCTTGAGACTGTCCATCACCCCGAATCTCACCTTACATCTCTGGGCTGGGTTTATAGGAAAGGCCAGCAACCCAAAGTTTGTTGTTATTCAGTCGCTAAGTCATGTCCTACTCTTTGTGACCCACAGACTTCAGCACGCCAGGCTTCCCTGTCCTCCGCTATCTCCCAGAGCTTATTCAAACTCATGTCCATTGAGTCAACAATGCCATCCAGTCATCTCATCCTCTGTTGACCCCTTCTCCTCCTGCCCTCAATCTTTCCCAGCATCAGGATAATTTTCCAGTGAGTCGACTCTTCGCATCAGATGGCCAAAGTTTTGGAGCTTCAGCTTCAGTCCTCCCAATGAATATTCAGGGTTAATTTCCTTTAGGATTGACTGGTTTGATCTCCCTACAGTCCAAGGGACTCTCAAGAGTCTTCTCCAGCACCACAGTTGGAAAGCATCAATTTTTTGGTGCTCAGCCTTCTTTATGGTCCAACTTATTCCTCACTGAATCGAGACTTGCTTTTTTCTTTAGCAGATAACTTAATTACTTGACCACATGATCCTCTTGAATTGTCATTCTAAACTTTTATTCGTGATTCCCAATTCCAGTTGGTAATCAGCAGATAGAAAGTGTTCCAATTAGAGAAATCAAATTAATTCTTTTTTAAATAAGGAGAAAAAACTACTTATTCTGGACTCCTGGGAAGCAGAAATTAGGTGGGATTCTTAAAATGAAAAGGACAATTATCTCTCCCTCATTTACTTCATCTTCTCGTTCTTTCCCTATGTTCTCCGCTCCCTGTAGCCCAAGAAATTACCAGAGGAGGAAATCGTGCTACGCATCACACTCCCCCACTGAATTCTGCCACCAACCATGACTTTGGCTTCACTGACAGATTAGAACAGAAAGTCCAGAAAGTTAGAAAATCAGTATTAGATATTCAGGAGATAATAGGTGATGCCTTGGCGTCTATTTATCAGTCATGGTAGGATTAAGGGGTGAAGGACGTGAGACAGAATGCTTCGGATCATCCCACCCTTCCCATCCTATGACATACTTCACTTAAAGTCGCTTTTCCCTTATCAGGTATTTATTATATTAGAATTGTTTCATAAAATCTTACGATTCTTCTCAATGATGAGCCACTAAGGATTGAGGCAGAGTTATAATTACTTCAATCAAGACGTCCTGTAACCTGTCATTCTCTTCAACTTTACAACTATGTTCAGAAAAGATAGTTGAAACCACTAGACACAGAGGCTGAAATTCTGGGTTTTCTGTAACAGCTGTCAGCAATGGTGAACATCCTTTCCAAGGGTTGCTTTGCCAATGATAACTCCTTTCGCAGCTCCTTTCTTGTCATCCTTGTTCCTGAGGCCCATCAACAAACTCTGTCCCAGACCAAAACTTCATGAAAATCATCACTTTGGTGAACTTATTTTCAGCCTAGCTCCCAATTTTTAAAAAGTGAAAGTGTCTGACTCAGTCGTGTCTGACTCTTTGTGACCCTATAGACTGTAGCCCGCCAGGCTCCTCTGTCCATGGGATTCTCTAGGCAACAATACTGGTGTGGGTACCATTCCCTTCTCCAGGGGATCATCCTAACTCAGGCATTGAACCGAGGTGTCTAGCATTGGAGGTGGATTCTTTACCATCTGTGTTACCAGGGAAGCTCCTTAATAAGGCAATGTTCCATGTGAAACTAAAACACTGTACTGTATTTTTAAAACATGTTAAATCCTGAATCCCTCATTATTGCATTTGCAGAGGGTCCTCTGAGCAATGGTTAGGACAACAGGGCCACCTAACACCCCGACGACAGTGAGCTTTGGGGAAACAGGAAGCTGAGTTCAGCCCCCTTGTGCTCCCAAGGAGGGGCAGGAGCAAGGGCAAGGGAAGGCCCACGGCCTGTTAACCTAAATAATAACAACAGGCCTTCCCATCGGGACCACCAAGACAACTCAGAGATGAAGAAAAGTAAGACAGGACGTGGTGCTTCGGTTAAAAACAGAAAAGGGATTGTGAAGTCACCATGGGACTTTGAAGCGATCTTATAAAGAAAGCACTATGTTCTCTCGTTCCAAAGCCAGCGAGTCTTGAAACAATCTCAGTGTCAATTTTAGAAGATGCTGAATGTGGGGGTGTTGATGGTGGAGGCTACAGTACTTTCTCTGAGATGAAGAACTAAGAAATAAACATAGAAGAAGACTCCTAGGTGTTGGTAAGACCAAGAGCACTGACATTCTCATGAGTCTGCTCCTCCCTAGGAAGGCACGCATCAGGGCATTTCTGGCGCGGGTGCCGAGTACAGAGCCGCTGGCCGTGAAGTGCCAGGAGCCCCCAGCACCGGAGAGTGGAAGCCTGCGTCTGTGTCCTTCAGACCACCAGGAAGAGCCTCGAACCTGACAGCTCACGGCATGTCCAGGCCTCCGCTCGCGCAGAGGACAGTCTCTGCACAGCCGTCGAGCGTGTGGACGGCTGCGGAGGCCGGGCTCGGGGACTGAGGGGATGCGTGGTCAAAGCTGACTGGCGCTGGCTTGCCCTGTGATGAGCTTGTTACAGAAAGAGGGGTTCAGGATGGGGGACACGTGTACACCCGTGGCTGATCTGTGTCAATGTATGGTGAAAGCCACTACAATTAGCCTCCAATTAAAATAAATAAATAAGTTAAAAAAAAAAAAACTGGACCCTTGGATTCTCATGCCTTTTCCCAATGGAGGTGCTCATGATCTCCGTTTATCAGAGCTGAGGGGCTCGGGTACAGGGGTGATGATACTGCCCAGGGTGAGCTGAGGCTGGAACCCCAGCTGCGGCCAGTGCCCCTGCACCCTGGTGTTCCCCAGTGAACTGAGAGGCAAGCAGGGCCTCCTCATTCCCCCCACAGTCCTAACCCCTGTCCTGCCTTCCCCTGCCCCAGGCTGGGCCAGGAGCCAGTCCCCCTCCCCAGGGACCCGTCTGCTCCTGCTAGCTCAGAGAAGTCATGCTAGACGAAAAGCAAATTCAAGCGATTTTCTTATTCGAGTTCAAAATGGGTCATAAAGCAGCAGAGGCAATTTTTTTCAGGGAAAATGCTTCTACAACCAGCGGGAGGTCGAAAATGCCTTCCAAGAGTTCATCGAAACTCCAAGCACGGATTTTGATGCTACAGGAATAAACAAACTTATTTCTCGTTGGCAAAAATGTGTTGATTGTAATGGTTCCTAGTCTGACTATTAAAGATGTGTTTGAGCCTTGTTATAAATGATTTAAAATTCACTGTCTGAAACTGCAACTACGTTTGCACCAGCCTAATACCAACCTGCAGCTACGGTTTCCCCTCACCCTTCTGCCTGTTCAAAGACCACCCATCACTCTGCAATTCTTGGAAGTCTGGAAGGATAACTCAACATCTTCTATAAGGGTCACTACAACTTTTCCAATTCAAAATGATCTGCCTTCTAAATGCTTATGGGCTTTGCTCTGATGGGCGGTCCAATATGAGATAATCTTCTGGTTATTTCTAAGGAACTAGCTTTGTATCTTCAACTATCCCTTAACATTTTTCTTGGTAGAGGCCACATGATATAATTTGTAGGGGAAGGGGGTACCATGTCACGCTTCACATATGCTGGGCACACATCTGCTCTTAGTAAGTCACTAGGCACTCTTTGTTTTGCACAATCTGGGCACAATCCTCCAAATAAGCTCATGCAATTTGAGAGCAGAAAGGCACCTACCAGCCCTCCACCCCTGCTGCGTGTTTCAGGGGCGCACGGCGGCCCAGGCAGAACACAGACGCATCTGAGAGCAAAGGTGAGAAGGACGGTCTGGTTCTAAGACCTCAGGTTATCTGTCTCCTGTTGAGGTCTGCTCCTTCTTACACACACAGCGTGAGCTGGGAAAGATCACCTGAGCATCAGAAAAAGTTCCCCCACCCCGTTTTCATCTCTCTTTTAAACCAACAGTCAATTCTACCAAAATCAACTTGAAGGCTTCTGCTTCCTGTCAGGATGGACAAACAGGGACCAGGCTCACCTTCCTGCAGGAAAAATAAGTGAAGACACTGGATGAAACACAAGAAACAACAGCACTTCAGACTCGGTGTATCCGAGTGAAAAGCAGTGACCCCCGAGAAATGAGAAATGAATGAGGTGACACCCACATGGTTATGTGACCTGTCTGGGGTGACCACCATGCTCGTGGGTGCTGCCTCTGGGTCCGTGGGCGCTCAGGGCCTGCACCCCTTTCAGCCGCTGCTGGGCCCTTACAGAGGCGTGGGGGGCGCTAAGAGAGCAGGTCTAAGAGTCAGTAAAGTATAATACTAATTAAAGGTGGCGGGAGAAACTTCTGGAAGTGACGGGAACGCTCATGTCCTAGATTGTGGCTGTGGATTCACAGGTGTGAAAGTGAAAGTCTTAGTGGCTCAGTCCTGCCCAACTCTTTGCGGCCCCGTGGACTGTCGCCCGCCAGGCCCCTCTGTCCATGGCATTCTCCAGACAGAAACACTGGAGTGGGTGGCCAGTCCCTCCTGCAGGGGATCTTCCTGACCCAGAGATCGAACCCAGGTCTCCTGCATGGCAGGCAGATTCTTTACCAGGTGAGCCACCAGGGAATCAGGAGTATGGACTTGTCTCCAAACCCACAGAGTTGCCAACATCACATCGTACATTACGTGTCGACTAGAGGAGCGGTGCTTTCTTTAAATCAACGGAGTTCTCCAGTCTTCACGTAGAGCTCAGGGTAGCAGCCGGGAGGGACGCTGAGGCTGGCAGGCCACTAGTGACGCTGCGGGAGCTCGGTGCTAAGTGACCGAGAGAGGAACAGAGCAGGCGTCGACGGCGAGGGTGGACGCTGCCCACCGACGCAGGACCGACGGCGCACCATCAGTGAAGACGTGCACCGCACCCACGCTGCAGGAGGCCTGGCACCACGGTCCCCGCGAGAAAGCTCAGAGCAGCAGCGCCCCGCGCGGAGAGGGGGAACCAGGTTCTGGCCCCACACTCCTCGGGTTCACCAGGGAAATCAGGATGGGCCAGAAGATTCTGACGTTTGGACACAAAAGTGGGCGTGCCTCCAACCAGCCACAGTGTAAGAGGGATGCCAAAACGTGTGACTCGGTGAGTTATGTTCACTTATCTGTTTAGTGACTGACTTAGCTAGTTATCAGGGCTTCCCTGGTGGTTCAGTTGGTGAAGAATCTGCCTGTAATGCAGAAGATCCTGGTTCGATTCCTGGGTCAGGAAGATCCCCTGGAGAAGGGATAGGCTACCCACTCCAGTATTCTTGGGCTTCCCTTGTGGCTCAGCTGGTAAAGAATCCGCCTGCAATGTGGGAGGCCTGGGTTCATCCGTGGGTTGGGAAGATCCCCTGGAGAAGGGAATGGCTACCCACTCCAGTATTCTGACCTGGAGAATTCCAGACTGTATAGTCCATGGGGTCACAAAGAGTCGGACACGACTGAGCGACTCTCACTAGCTAGTTATTAGGGGTCACAAATCCCTGCGAGGATCTGAGGGAAGCTGTGCAGTAATGCCGTTCCCAGCAACACGGATGTATGTAGAAATGACCACACTGTGTGAAGAAAGAGAAAGAACACATCATATGACATCACTTATATGTGGAATCTAAAAAACCATACAAATGAATTTATATGCAAAACAAAAACGGACCCACAGACATAGAAAACAAACTTCTGGTTTCCAAAGGAGGGAGGGAGGGATAAATCAGGAGCTTGGGATTAACATATACACACTACCGGAGTTCAATCCCTGGGTCTGGAGGATCCCCTGGAGGGGGGCACGGCAACCTGCTCCAGTGTTCCTGCCTGGAGAATCCCGTGGACAGAGGGGCCTGGCGGGCTACACTCCATAGGGTCACAAAGAGACAGACGACGACTGAGCGACTAAGCACGCGTATGTAAACTATACATCGTAAAACACAGGGAACTATACTCCACATTTTGTAATAACTATAAGGGAAAAGAATCTGAAAAAGAATGTATATATGTGTGTGTGTGTGTGTGTGTAAGTGGTGCTAGTGGTGAAGAATCCACCTGTAGGACATGCAAGAGACACAGCTTCGATTCCTGGGTGGGGAAGATCCCCTGGAGAGGGCCTGGCAACCCACTCCAGTATTCCTGCCTGGAGAACCCCACGGACAGAGGGGCCTGGGGGGCTACTGCCCACGGGGTCACAGAGAGTCAGACCCAACTGAGCGACGTGTGTGTGCGCTGTGCTGGGCTGGGCTGAGTCACTCAGTCGTATCTGACTCTCTTTGAGCCCAGGAACTGCAGCCCGCCAGGCCCCTCTGTCCGTGGGGTTTCTCCAGGAAAGAATACTAGAGTGGGTAGCCTTTCCCTCCTCCAGGGGATCCTCCCAACCCAGAGATCGAACCCAGCTCTCCCACATTGCGGGCGGATTCTTTACCAGCTGAGCCACAGGGGAAGCCCAAGAATACTGGAGTGGGGAGCCTACCCCTTCTCCAGGGGAACTTTCTGACCCAGGAATTGAACCAGGGATCTCCCACATTGCAAGCAGATTCTTTACCAGCTGAGCCACCGGGGAAGCCCATACGAACGTGTATATACACATGAATATATATACACACATATATGACTGAGTCAATCTGCGGTACACCTGTGACGAGGTTACATAACACTGTAAAACAACTCTACTTCAATAAAAAAATAGAACAAACCCCTCCAACAATGTTATATGCACAATGGTATATGTCACATATATTTCAATTTTTAAAAGTAAAAGATACCTAAAAGTAAAAAAGAAAGCTTTAAGCCCCAGCTCCAGAGAAGGGTGTGAACAGACACCCACAAAATCTTACATCAGCTGCCAGTTAGCCCCCTGTTAAGAATCCCTAACACATTCATTTAGAACTTTCCATTTTTCAGAGTGTTCTTAGGCCTATTTTTATCTCATCCTTTGCTTTAATGGAATAAACAGATTACTGAAGCCCCGCCTGAACTCAGGGTCTCCAGGGGGTACAAGGAGATATTCTTGCCCTGACCTCAGAATCCCCGTAGAGAGGAGACCCTCCATGGCCAGAAATGTTCATTTCTTCATTCATAATGCAGACATCAGGTCTGAAGGAGAGGGGAGAAGGGAGACAGGGTGGGGGTCGGTCTGGGGTCTGGTTCTCCGTCTCAGAACTACCGGCAAAGAGTTTGGGGAGCAACAAAAATGCAGAGAATAAACCACGTCGGCCTCCGCCTGGTGGACCCAGCCAGCCGGGGTCACTGGTGCAGTCAGGGAGTCAGTGGGGGGCCGTCCGGTGACCTCAGAGGAGGGCCGACTCTGGGGGCCTCGGGGCCGGGGGGCAGCTTCGGGGGCAGAGTTCCCCGGGCTCCCAGGGCCACCAGCCGCCCCGGAGGCCTCCCCGCCTCCCCAGAGGACGCAGGGGCCTGGGTCTCCCAGCACCCTGAGGACGAGGCGGCCTCTTGGAGGCTGGCCGGGGGCAATCAGGAGGCGGCCTGATGATGGCACCCCGCACATGGGCGCAATCAGCATAATTTATCTCCCAATCAGCGGCGGGGCGTGGAGCCGGCGGGCCTGGCACTCGCGAGGCCGGGTGACAGAAATTGTTTTTTAAGCAGCTGCCCTCTGGAGACATTACCCTCTCCCGACGCCCGGCATAATGAGGCCTTGATTATCTGTCGGGCCTGCGAGCTCAGGAGTGGCTGTCGAGGCTGCGAGCGCCAGCTGGAGCTGCCCTGCCCTCCGCCCCGCACCTGCCCTCCAACAAGCCCCTTTGTTCCCGACGCCCTGCCCTTCGCCCTCCTCTCCCTGCGAGTCTGCCTCATGCCTTGAGGAGGGACACTCTCCTGCCTGAAGCTACTCAGGACGCAGGGTGGAGCACCAGGTCCCCGCCTCGCAGAGATGGAGCTAGACGAGAAGCTCAGGCGCTGCGGAGGCGGCGGCTCCAGACGGAGCCAGCGGCACAGGGGCCCTGTGCTGGGGAGGCTGTGGCCACCCCCCTGCGGGCACCCACTGCAGGGACCCCCACTGCATGCAGGCACCCCCACTATGGATAGCTCCCCTTGGGGTGTCCCCACTGCAGGAACCCCATTATGGATGTCTCCCCTTGGGCACCCCCACTGCAGAAAACTCCACTACCGTGTCTCCCCATTGGCGGCCCCCACTGGGAGCACCTCCACCACAGGCTGACCCCCCGGGAGGTGGAGGTGGGGCTCCCTCCCCCCCTGACTGATGGGGGTGACAGGGACAGAGTGAAGGGTGCTCTCCCTTCTCTGGCGACATGTCTTCCCGCTCTGGGTGTCCCCGATGGAGCACACCCGCGGAACACGAGATGATGGGTGGAGCAGAGACGGAGAGCCGGGTGGGCGGAGGGGCCCGGCTCCGAGCTCCCTGTCACCTGGCCGAGGCGCCCTCTCGAGGTCACCATCCGCAGCCCAGCCCCAGTGCTGTGGCGGCAGGAACGGGCCTGAGCCCCAGCTCCCAGACACGGCCAGTCTGGTCCAGGAGACCAGGTCCGCCGCCTCTCCTGCACACCTGCACCTCAGTGCCCACACGGCGCACGCAGCTGGAGGGATAAAAAGATGAACGCGAGACCTTGCCGCCCAGAAACCTCAGCGAATAGCTGACGGGAAGACGAACTAAAACGAGGATGGAGCTCTGCAAAGACGAGCGTCAGCTGCGTTCGCGGTTGCTGTTACACTTCGCACGTCAACCCCCAAACGCCAGCCCCACGTTCTGTATCCAGACGGAGCTCGGTGTTTGCTGATCGATGAAGCTCTACTCACTTTGGCAGAAAAACGTAAATGTTTCCTGGCAGCAAAAGCAGAAAATATATTTATCTAAGGGGTATGCGTTTAAAATTCCACAGTAGCAAAACCAATGACAAGGCAGGCAACTCACGTTTCTTTCCCCCAGATAATCCCCTGGTGAAGGACCAGCTCCAGCTGGTGGAGGCGGCCCTTGGCAGCCAAGACCTCGGCTTTGAAGGAAGAAGCCACGAACTCACTCGCTCAAAAGTTCACAGGCGAAAAGTGCCGTTCCCCTCGGAAGCACGCTGTGTGTTGGAAAGGGCTGGAACAATCTGATCAGCCTCTTGGCCCATTCCAAGAAACTGGGACGTCCCTCCGCCCTCAGCTGAGTGAAAGAGCAAGCTCAACGTCAGCACCAGGATGCAGGCTGAACCTCGCAGTCTGGCCCAGCCATGGGAGAATCCCCCCACCTCGGGCTTCCTGCCGGGAGAGAACTGCCATGGGGGGGTGTGTGCGTTTGGTGACAGACAGGAGGTTTGTCCAGCCAACGTCAGCCACCAGCACCACCTGGAAAAACCCAAACCCCTTACTGCACGCTGCGACCCGCTGCCCAGTGAGGCTGGATTCTAGCACCTGACTCAGTCCTCTGTCTCCATGTTGAGACACAGCTCTCCACTCACTGGGCTTCCCAGGCGAGTAAAGACACTGTGGTAAACCCAGTAGGAAAGACACTGCCTGCAATGCAAGAGACACACGAGATGTGGGTTCGATCCTGGGTCGGGAAGAGCCCTGGGGAGGGCATGGCAACCCACTCCACTATTCTTGCCTGGAGAATCCCATGGACAGGGGAGCCTGGTGGGCTGCAGGCCATGGGGTTGCAAAGAGTTGGACACGACTGAGCGACTCAACAACAACTATGTCTGTGAAACGGGGCCAACAGCTATTGCTGGCTGTGGGTGGAAATCATGAATGAAGCATATTCACAGAAGTAGGAGGTGGTTGTTTCTGAATCTTGTGTTAACTTTTCCTGCTACCATACATGTCTAGAAATCTGAGTGCCCCCCAAGGCTTGTTGGGAGCGAGTTTGAGGGTGATTTGTGATGGCCCACTCTGTCTCCTAGGTCCTTCTGTAACTTTCTGGATGGAGACCACAGAGCGGTACCCGCTAAAGGTGGGACTCCGTATTTATAGAAGACATGGTGAGTCCACCTGTGGGACACGATCCCTGGACCTCAAAAAATAAGAGAGGTAGAAAATATTCAGTAAAAAAAATACAATGGAATTAAGAGGCAATAGAGGATTAGACAAAGGCCCGTCTAGTCAAAGCCATGGTTTTTCCAGCAGTCATGTACGGATGTGAGAGTTGGACCAGAAAGAAGGCTGAGCACTGAAGAATTGATGCTTTTGAATTGTGGTGTTGGAGAAGACTCTAGAGAGTCTCTTGGACTGCAAGGAGATCCAACCAGTCCATCCTAAAGGAGATCAGCCCTGAATATTCCTTGGAAGGACTGATGCTGAAGCTAAAGCTCCAATGCTTTGGCCACCTGATGCGAAAGTTGACTCACTGGAAAAGACCCTGATGCTGGGAAAGATTGAGGGCAGGAGGAGAAGGGGACAACAGAGGATGAGATGGTTGGATGGCATCACTGACTCAAAGGACATGAGTTTGAGCAAGCTCCAGGAGATAGTGAAGGACAGGGAGGCCTGGCGTGCTGCAGTCCATGGGGTTGCAAAGAGTCAGACATGACTGAACGACTGAACAACAGCAAGGGGATTCGAAGGACGTAAGAGAGAGGAGAAAGGAAGAGAGAGATGGAGAGAAATGGAGAGAGAGGGAGACAGGGGGAGGGTGGGAAGGAAGGAGGGAGAAGAACTGCCAGAGCACAGGAGGGAGGAAAGTTTAAACGAACCAGTGAGAAGATGCACACCTCCAAGTTCATAACGGGGTGCCCGCAGGAGACGTGGGTGCCGTCCAACCTTGAGGTACAGGGCAGAGCATGACGGGGGGTTTCCTGGAGCTGGGCAGCCAGCCGTGAGCACTGGAGTGGGGTCACCCCACGGCTTCCCCCTTGCTCTGCCCACCTGAGTCACAGAAGCCCCCGCCAGCCTCTACCTCCAAATATCACAGGGTGTCTCAATGGGCACCAGAACCAGAACCACATGGGGAATGGCCTCCTGGAGGATGCAGTCCAGCTCACTCAGGCAGATGTGACCCAAGGCCTGTCACACCAGTCCTGAGATGGAGAAACGCAGCTGATCCTCAATCCTGCTCCCGGGCATCTCTCCAAAGGAGTGGAGACCGGTCTGAAGAGACAGCATTTCGGCACTGCTCACAGTAGTAGTGGACACCAGGGCTGGGGGAGACTTTGGAGGTGATGGGCAGGCTTCAGCATAGACGCTGGTGACAGTGTCAAGGTGTATGCGGTGGCGGTTAGTCGTTAAGTCATGGTCAACCCTTTGCGACCCCATGGACTGACTGTAGCCCGCCAGGCTCCTCTGTCCACGGGATTCCCCAGGCAAGAATACTGGGCTGGGTAGCCATTTCCTCTTCCAGGGGATCTTCCCGAGCCAGGGAATGAACCCTTGTGTCCTGCATTGCAGGCAGATTCTTCACCAACTGAGCCACCAGGGGAGCCTTCAAGGTGTATGCGTGTTAGTAGCTCAGTCGTGTCCACCTCTCTGACCCCGCGGACAGTTGCCCACCAGGCTCCTCTGTCCAAGGATTCTCCAGGCAAGAAGACTGGGGTGGGTAGCCGTTTCCTTCTCCAGGGGACCTTCCCCACCCGGGGATCACACCCGTGCCTCCTGCGTTTCCTGCACTGCGGGCGGATTCTTTGCTGCTGAGCCACTGGCGGAGCCCCTGTTTTCTGTCATAATTCACAGTAATCCCATGCCTGCGTTTAGACCCTCGTCTGGGTGTGTTTCGGGCTCTGTGGTGACTAACCTCTTTGATTTTTCTTTGGTCACAGCCTTTGAAGGGCATTAAGGTTGGCTTTTGACTGTAATGACAGCTCAAACAGGGACAGTGACCAAGGTCCAGATGCATTTTTCTCGTGAAGCAGACATTTCTTAGTGTATTTGTTTCCTTCTTTGCGGCGTTAATCCCTCAGAGTTATTCATTTGACTGTTAGTAACAGATCATCAAAGGGGTGCTGAGAGCCCAACACAGAGGCAGCGGATTTACTGCTCAGGCCTCTGGAAATGTGGTCTCCAGGCCTACGCGGCGTGCGTCCGCGCGTGTACACACCCACATGAATGCATGTACTCTGGTTTTGTTCAGGTTAATGCTATAATCTAAGGCAAAAGAAAAAGCACCTGCATGAAATAAAAATCTCAAAGAATGGGTCAATAGCCATTGAAAATAATGTTGGAACAGGTGTGGAAGGAAATCTTTGATCTCGAAGACCCTTTTAAAAGTGTCAGAAGCAAAGTACTTGCTTAAGTCAAAGAGAAAACCCCAGAAGCATTGTTTTGGAAAGTAAGGGAGGTTTTCAGTTTAATGCAAACGTGGCTCTGTTGCCTGATGTTCACAGGATGCAGCTGAAGAGACAAAATCCAAGGGAATTACCCGCATGGCGCCCAGGGGCGCTGCGTTCTCAGTGGGCCCGCAGGGGAGCCTGGGGCATGTTCTGGAAGCCCAGAGGGAACGCAGACGTGGTCCCGTCCTCGGCTCCTCCTGCGGGGGTTTGAGAGCCAACAGCTGGCCGCCTGAGGGCCAGGGGTCAGGGGGCAGGGCTCGGGCTGGCGGTTGGGGCCAGAGTTGTGGCCCCAGCGCCTCTGACAGTGGCTGGGACGGTGATGGGAGACGGGGGCGTGAATGTGGGTTTGCAGCCAGCACCCTCGCTTGTCCAGAAGATGCTCTTCCTCCCAGTTAAGCACGGGGCTGAGCCCAGGGCTCAGCGGTGGATGCAAACTTGGGTAGGACTGGTCCATCGACACCCACACGGCTGCAGCGTCCACACGGGCAGGGCTCTGAGGCATCGGGCCTCCAGCACTGTGGCCACCGGACCCCTTCACATTCCTACAAGCTATGCAGGACCCCAAAGAGCCGGTGTTCACGGGGCTACACAGATCTCTACCATCACGCCCTGCCGTCGGCACAACGTGCATGGACCTTGAGGGCGTCACGCTGAGTGAAGTAAGTCAGAGAAAGACAAACACCATGCGGTCTCGCTACATGTGGAGCCAAAACTAAGAAACAGAGGAACTCACACAGAGAACGGGGTGTTGCCAGAGGTGGCGGTAGGGGGTAAGTGGGTGAAGGGCGTCAAACGGTACAGACTCGCAGCCATAAAGTCAGAGTGCTGGGCTGGAACGCACGGGCTGGCGACACCGCATCGTGTATCTGCGAGTTGCTGAGAGCACAGGTCTTAAAGGGCTCAGTTCAGACAGTACTCTGAGGACCGCCAACATCAAGCCTGAATTAGATATAAGAAGAAAAGGACCTGGACAAGTCGCCAACTTCCCTTGGAGGGTGGGGGGGGCGGAGTTTCTGGAAGAGGGTGTACCCCAACAGGAGTTCAGGGAATGAGCCAGAGCGCCCAGGGGTGGACAGGAGCGACAACAGGCCTGCGGGAGGTAAGCAGGTTTCAGGAGAGGAGGTCAGGTCCTCTGCCTTACCCATTACCTGCCCTGGGCTCCTCCAAGCACTGGCCTGTCTGCCCGAGCCCCAGTCTGCTCACCTGTAAAACAGGATGCCAATGACTACCTCATCGCGTGTCTGAGCGCTGAACTGCCCAGTGTGTGGGGCAGCGGGCCCAAGCCCCGGCACTCAGCTGGGTCACTCCCTGCCGAGGACCCCGACTCACCCTGAGAGACAGGACAGGTGGTTTTTTCCATCAGAGAAATCGCTCAGTCATGCCCGACTCTTTGAGACCCCATGGACTATAGCCTACCAGGCTCTTCGGTCCATGGGATTTTCCAGGCTGTTGATAAACTGCCCCCACCCCTAAATAATTTATTAATTTTCTCTTTGATGATGTAAGGACTTCCCTTACATGGTAAGACAGATGGTAAAGCATCTGCCTATAATACGGGAGACCCAGGTTCAATCCCTGGGTCAGGAAGATCTCCTGGAGAAGGAAATAGCAACCCACTCCAGTATTCTTGCCTGGAAAATCCCATGGACGGAGGAACCTGGTAGGCTATACAGTCCATGGGGTCACAAAGAATCGGACATGACTGAACGACTTCACTTTCTTTCACTTTCCTTGATGCTGTAAAACTATTAATATATTTGGAGTCTTGATCCTATGTATCTCATATTTGAATGCAAGTAATAATAAGTAAGGTGTTCATAAGGTTCTACTTTATGAAGCCCTTGAGTTTAAGTGTCTATGAACTCCTTTGACTTGAGTACAAAGGTCGGGGCTTTGAGTGACAAAACTCTGAAAGGTTTTGTGTCTAAGAGAGACGGCTCCCCAGCATGAAACCAAAAACGGCAAGTTTCTATGCTCTCAATCAGCCAATGCAATTTGGGAGGTAGACCCCAGAATATCAGATCCAGAGACCTCTGTGTGGACACACCAAGACACTTTGAGAACCTGGGAAAGGTCTTTCTTCATCTATAGATTTTTGCTGCATGAGCTCTCAAATACAAGGGTCTAAATGGCCAGCAGCATAAAGCAAGTCACTGTATCTTAAAGTTCAACGTCAAGTGGGTTGAATGTGTATTATTTTTGATTTTGAAATAGATTCTCTACAGCACATGTTCCCAATAGATCAGTCAAGGAATGAACCCACATCTGAAATGGGTGTAATTCAAAGGCACTTTGGAAACGTCAAGTTTGACAAGCCAGCCAATATGTACCTCTTAAAACCGAAGGCAGTATTTGTGTTCGGAAACGAAGTCTTCCCAACCTGAGATTTTCTAATACAAAGGGGTATCTACTTTAGTCACAGAGTTTTCTGACATCTTGCCAGAGCAGAATTCTCTGGACACCCTTCTATCAGAAGATGCTTATCTGCTCCTGTCTAGGTGGAAATACAAGCTGAAAGAAATGTCCAGGACTGGCAGGACAGGGACCTGCATCTACAGAAGCTGAAATGACCCCTGTGCAGGAGCACTATTGTTCAGTTCAGTCGCTCAGTCGTGTCTGACTCTCTGCGACCCCGTGGACCGCAGCACACCAGTCCTCACTGTCCATCACCAACGCCCAGAGTTTACTCAAATGCATGTCCATCAAGTCGGTGATGCCATCCAACCATCTCATCCTCTGTCATCCCCTTCTCCTTCCACCTTCAATCTTTCCCAGCATCAGGGTCTTTTCAAATAAGTCAGTTCTTCACATCAGGTGGCCAAAGTATGGGAGTTTCAGCTTCAACATCAGTCCTTCCAGTGAATATTCAAGACTGATTTCCTTTAGTATTCACTGGTTCGATCTCCTTGCAGTCCAAGGGACTCTCAAGAGTCTTCTCCAACACCACAGTCCAAAAACATCAATTCTTTGGCACTCAGCTTTCTTTATGGTCCAACTCTCACATCCATACATGACTACTGGAAAAACCATAGCTTTGACTAGATGGACCTTTGTTGGCAAAGTAATATCTCTGCTTTTTAATATGCTGTCTAGGTTGGTCATAACTTTTCTTCCAAGGAGTAAGTGTCTTTTAATTTCATGGCTACAGTCACCATCTGCAGTGATTTTGGAGCCCCCCCAAAATAAAGTCTATTGTAAGTGTCCACCATTCTCTTCCTAAGTCCCAGGTCAGATAGAGTCTCCCCATGAAGCTGCCCACAACTCCCCTCATCAGCATTAATCACTTTCTGTGCTTTCCAAATGCTTACCAGCCTGGATGGTTTAAAGACTTCCTTCACAGTCACATGGAGATGGCCCTCGGCACCCTCTGAGCACCTGTCCACAGATGGATATTCCATCCATTCTCTTATGCTTTTCCCGGTTGGGGGAGTGTGCAGTGACTTCTGATCTTTGTTTCTCCCAGCAGATGACACAGGAGTTTATGCAAAATAGGCGTTCAAAAAGCATTTATTAAGTTGCACTAAATGACTTATTTTGAAGTTCAAGTAACGGAATGTAGCGGAGCAGCACTCGAGCCCAGATCTGTGGTTCTGTCTAGGGCTCACTAGCACTTCCTGTGCGAAACGTCCCTCCATTCTTACGGCTCCCTGTTCAGCAGCTGTAAAGTCTCCCGCGTGCAACCTTCCCTGAAATCAGGTCTTTCTGCTCTGTTTACACAGAGCATGCCGCAGCAAAGTCCAGAAGAAGGGTGGCCCCACACTCCTCCCACGGCAGAGAGGGTAATCTCAGCAGCCCCCACACACACAACACTGCATGCACACTCCCAGTCACAACACTGCATGCACACTCCCAGTCACAACACTGCATGCACACTCCCAGTCGCAACACTGCATGCACACTCCCAGTCGGCCCCATGGGCTCCTTACCAAGAGATACTATCAGACAGCATCAGACACCAGTTTGATCAGACTCAGCATCAGACATCAGTGGATACTGATGGATGTGAAAGTCAAAGTGAAAGTTGCCCAGTTGTGTCCGACTCTTTGCAACCCCATGGACTATACAGTCCATGGAATTCTCCAGGACAGAATACTGGAGTGGGTTCACTTCTCCAGGGGATCTTCCCAACCCAGGGATCAAACCCAGGTCTCCCTCATTACAGGCAGATTCCCAACTAGCTGAGCCACAAGGGAAGCCCAGGAATACTGGAGTGGGTAGCCTACACCTTCTCCAGCAGATCTTCCCGACCCAGGAATCGAGTTTGAGTCTCCTGCATTGCAGGCAGATTCTTTACCAGCTGAGCTATGAGGGAAGCCTCATAGCTTCCACTATGGGAAGCTTCCACAGGGAAGCTACCACTGCCATATTTATATCCATGGCCATGCTGCTCTCCCAAGCCAAAAATCTACTCCGAAAGCTGGCGCCCCAAACCGATTCTTTGACGGATTCCTGGCTCCCCTACAGCATGTTGTGATCACTCAGATCAGGCTGCCGCCTACCTCACACCGACCTTAACCGCAGAGCTGGCCTGCAGGGCTTCTGTCCCCGGGGAAAGCCAGTCCGGACGGGACGTTCGTGTCCACCGGAACGTCCCTTGAGAGAACCAGCCGTCCTTCCTAACTGCCGTGTCATGGCTTCCGGCAAGGACACAATTCTGCTCTGTGTGAGGGAACCCCCAGCCATGGACCCGAGGGCTCCCTCGGCCGGGGGCAGGCTGGACAGAACCGAAGGCCGGCAGAACCCGAGAGGCCCGGGCTGCCGCGGCTCCAGGCCCCTGAGGACTGTGGGCAGACACTCGGCAGCTCACAGGGCACTTGGTCTGCAGCTGCCAGCCCGCGTCTGCCTCAGGAATGCATCGGACATGGCGGGATGACAAAGACGGCCGCCACAACGAGCCGGGAGGCCGCCCTGGCTCTCGCAGGTTTAGACTTCAGGGCCGATCTCTACACCACCCCTGAAGCTCCCGTTAGCAAACAGGAGTGAAGAGATACCCGAGGCCGCCATGGCTGGCGAAGACCACGGGCAGGCAGGGCGCAGGGGCACGGGGCGAGCTGGTGGGGAGGGTCTATGCCACACCCTGTCAGACCCACCAACTGCTTCCACACAAAAAGGAAAACACGCAGCTTTTAGCAACAATGGCCACTTCAGAGAGACTCCTTTTCTCATGCTCCTGCTTCAAGGCTGGCTGGAAATGACATGAAAGCAAAAAACAAACTGAACAAATCGTTGAAGACATTCTGATGGGTGTCAGAGCTGCCTGGGGCCCGTCCAGGTGCAGAACGACGCCTGAGAAGAGCCTTCTGTACTCAGGCAGTCGCCCTAAACCAAATGCTGCAGTTGCCTCGCCGTTTGGGGGATAGTGAAACCCTACGGGGAAAGTGCTGTGGGCTGAGTCAGCCCGTTAGTAAACGTCGGCCACAATCAGCCAGAGCATGGATGGTTGCTTGCCCCTTCTTGGTCGAAGAAGCCAAGAGCAAATAATTCTATTGGTAAAACTGGGGTTTTAGTATGGTTGTTTTCCCCTAAAACTCACCTATTACATTTCTCATGCTCTTAAACTGAGGAGAATTGCCAAGATAACAAATATTTAGATGAACCCAATAGCAACAGACACAGCCAAACAAATGCGTTTCTGCACTAAACACAGAGATGCACTTCCAGGGTGGGGAGTCGAGGTGAGCTACCTGGAATGCTGGCTCCAAATCATCCACAAGACAGGTGTTTTGATCCAACCGGGCACAGGGCACCTCCCGAGCATGGGGCGGGGCCCCACTGGGCAACAGCATGTGATAGCAGTGTGGGAGCCGCCTCCCCACGCAGCGCTCTCAAGCAAAGCTGTGTACACTCGATGCTCCAGCTCATGACTTCTGGTTGGAAGGTTCCCTGCAGGGCCCCACCTGGGTCCTCTGAATCCCAGACCCCCTCCTCACGCCTTCTGTGGGTCTGCAGCCCTAGCCCAGAAAATTCTGCATGTGTGTGTTGATGCTTTTGAACTGTGGTGCTGGAGAAGACTCTTGAGAGTCCCTTGGACAACAACGAGATCAAATCAGTCCATCCTAAAGGAAATAGGTCCTGAATATTCATTGAAAGGATTGGTGCTGAAGCTGAAGCTCCAATACTTTGGCCACCTGATGTGAAGAGCTGACTCCTTGGAAAAGACCCTGATGCTGGGGAAGACTGAAGGCAGGAGAAGAGGGGGAAGACAGAGGATGAAACGGCTGGATGGCATCACTGACCCAATGGACATGAGTTTGAGCAAACTCAAGGAGATAGTGGAGGACAGGGAAGCCTGGTGGGCTATAGACCATGGGAGCACAAAGAGCCGGACACGACTTAGTGACTGAGCAGCAACAACAAATGTTAACACAAACCTCCTGATTCATCTCCACCCCCTTCCCCCTTTGGTAGTAAGTCTGCTTTCTATGTCTGTGAGTCTCCTTCTGTTTCGTAAACAAGTTCATTTGTGTCGTATATTAGGTTCACCTAGAAGTGATGCCACGTGGTGTCTGTCTTTCTATCTGACTCCATGTTGTACGATAATCCCCAGGTCTGTAGTTCCTTCTTCACTACAGCTTCCCCTGCCTGGCCCCTGGCACAGACCACCCGGGGCTGGAATAAATCACAGGTGGCACAGTCCTGCCAATCGCCCATCAGCTTGCCCACCCCAAACCCACCAGCCCCTGAAGCAGTGTGGTCCCAGGTCATAGAGTCCTCCTTGGCTCAAGGGAGCGTCTGCCTTCATCAGCGGCTTAAGATGTTTCAGAGACTTGCAACCTCCAAGCATCTCCTGTGAAACCAACAGCTCTGCCATAAAGGTGACTGGGCTCTCGTTAAGAGCCGTAGAAGCCTTGCCACATTTGAATTTGCAAGAAGACATAGTTGACACCTCCACTCTGGGATTCTTGGTAGAGTTTTTCAGCAACTTTCAACATTTTCAAATTAAAATCTAAAAAAAAAAAATATTAGGAATCACTCCCCTGTCTAATGGGAGAAACAGTAGCATAAGTATGTTTTTCCTTCCATTTGAAGGACAAGAAGACCAGGGTTCTGGGTAGCCATTTAGGGCGGCACACAGGGTCTCAAACCCAAATTCTCGCATCACTCGTTCAAAGCCGTTTTCCCTGTACCCTAACACTCATAAAAAAAAATGAAAAAGCTCAGTTCTCTTGAATTTAAAGAGAAAAAAGGGCACAGTCAACTTTAGTGTTTGCCTACTTGCTCTCCATGAAGATAACATTCAGTTAATCTTATATCAATACCAAGAGAAATAAGAATTTAGATTCTGCAAAATCATGGCACAGGTTGAATTAGTTGGCCACGTGAACCTCCAGTGACTGTGTTACGTTTCTATGGTGACAAGCTGTTTACAAAGTGTCGTGGGCAGGCCAGCCCTCCAGGCCCTGTGCACCGACCCCAAGCTGGATGACCAGGAGCCCGGCAGTGCCTTTTGAGGACGTACTTACAGATCTCAAAGCCAGACTCCACTTTAAAAAAGAAAGCCAAAAAATAAAAATAAAATAAAATAAAAATAAAAAAGAAAGCCTTCCCTACTCAAAATTCTTCAGATTTCATTTTCTAACACAAGATGACCCAATTTCCTTTTTGCCTTTCAAGAACCTTCACGGTGACCACAGACAAAACAGTCACTCTTGTTCTGCACAGTCCTGCAGTTTCCACGGTCGGGGCTGGCCTCACTGGAGCTCATCTCCACACAGATCCCGCCTCCAAACATCTCAGCTAAAGCCTCTCTGTCCCCACGGCCAGCCCCACCTGTCCACGTCCTCCCCGCCCAGCCCAGCCCTCACTTGCCTCCTCACGCCTCCTCCCTCTGCAGCTAGTGTTAAACTTCTCCCAGTAACATCAGTGAGAATACTGAGCACCTGCCACCTACAGGACCCGACTGATGCTGAAAGGAGTGTGGGTCCTGCCTGCTGAGGCACACAGCCTCGAGCCCCAGGCACATCCACGAGATCCACATGATGAGAAGCGTGCTCAGGAGAACACAGCAGGGAGCAGTTATCTATACAGACATCCCCAACACACGCTGGTTCATCTAAAGATTTCTCAACTTTCAAAATGTATTTATGCTCAGTCATATCCAATTCTTTGCAACCCTATGCACGGTAGCCCACCAGGCTCTTTGTCCATGGGATTCTCCAGGCAAGAATACTGGAGTGGGTTGCTCTTTCCTCCTCCAGGTGATCTTCCCGACCCAGGATCGAACCCGTGTCTCTTATGGCTCCTGCATTTGTGCTTTACCACTAGCGCCACCTAGGAAGCCACGATGGCGCAAAAGTGATACCCATTCTGTAGAAGTTGTACTTGGACTTGTGAACGGCCATCTTTTCTCAGATGCCAGTAAACCGTCTGGTACTCACTTGTGATGCTGGGGAAGGCAGCCCCCACCCCCATCACACATAGCCGCTGAAACACGGACAGGCGTTCTCTGTGTCCTTCAGTGTGGGATTCAGTGAATAAGTGAGACAGTCAACACTTGGATATAGTGTGGTCTTTGTGTGCTAGCCTCAGTGCCCAGCACATCTAAGGGGGGCTGGGGTGTGTGATGTGCAGTAGGTGGGGGTACTGGGTTCACTTTTGATTTTCTTTACAACTTAAGGGTGGGTTCATCAGGAGGTAATCCCAAGGGAAGGGAGACCTGTCTAGGGAGAACTCACCCCGGCCATAGGTAAAGCAGACAGCCAATGCAAACATGCTGTGTGACTCAGGGAGCTCAAACCGGGGCGCCGTAACACCCTAGAGGCGGGGGACGGGGAGGGAGGTGGGAGGGAGACTCAGGAGGGAGCGGACATGTGTATATCTACGGCTGATTCATGTTGATGTTTGGCAGACACCAACACAATTCTGTAAGGCAATTATCCTTCAAAACAAAATTTTTTTTAAAGAAATATGGAGCAGAGTCCACAGAGCAGGAGGCCGTCAGGATGAGACTGAGGCAGGGATGGCTGCGTGGAGCCCTGAACGAGCATCATGTCCACAAGAAGCCCAGGAAGGGCTCTGAGATTCTCACTCTGGACCACGGGCAGAGGGGCGGTTAGAGGGGGCTCACCCAGGATGCCATCGGGTGAGGCAGTCAAGGTCGAGTAAGGAGGACGCTCTGGGCTCAGGGCGGGTCAGTGGGGCCTGGAGAGTGATTCCACGGGGGACGGGAGGCATCCAGGACGAGTCCAGGTCTCTGCCTTGAGCACGCAGGGCATACGGACGGTGGTCGGGGGCCCTGGAGAAAGGACGGGGGGTGGGGGCAGGAGAGGGCATCACGGTTCTGCTCCACGCACCATAAGTGGAGCCCAAGCCAGAGCTGCGGGGCGGGCAGCTGGGGGGTCCTGACCACAATCTACCCATCACCTCTGGAGCTGCACGGTGATGCGTAAGAGAATTGATGCCAGTGAAGACTTTGTCCTTCCTGCTCACTGTGACTTGAGGAATCCACGGGCCATGTGCCTCCCGGGTGATGGTCTGCAGCCACTTTGTGCGGGGTCCCAGGAGGACATAGGATGGCCGGAAGGGTACCAGTCACCGCTTCCCTGCCTCGTTCAGGACAGCTCCCAGGTCCTCAGCAGCTCGGACAGGCTCCACGTTCCCCAGGAACAGTTTCCCCTTGACGATCCAGTTAGGCTAAGACTCAGTGTAAATACTTGGCAATAGAATAGTTAACAGCGTGTCTGCCTGAACCCATCCCAGAAATGACCTGGTTCTATCCTTACGTGATGCCTGCTGTGGGGCGGGTCTCCCAGCGACCCGCCCCATCACGTGGCTTTCCCTCCACGTGGGAGCTGGCCCTGGCCTGCACTCTACGGCATCCACCTTGGGAGCCTACTTCTCCTGCGTCACTGTGCGGGGACAGGGGCTGAGAGCAGAACCAGGGCGCAGACAAGGCCATCTCCAGCCGAGTCTCCACTCTTCCTTCTTTCATCAGCGTCGGCTCTGAGATCCTCCACTGTCACTAACGTGTGAATGACTGACACAATTTTAAACTTTCCTCTAAACAGACAGGACAAGCTCCCGGCCCGGTTTCAGGCATCACCCCTCATCTTTTCCCTCCTCGTCTTTATTTCAAAACCTCCCTTTGTTCCCCTTCTGTGACAGCCCCGTGGGTTTCCCAGTCTCCCAGCCTCTTGTCTGGGGACACATTTGTCCCTCCAGTATTCTGTGGCTGTGTCTTCAACATCAATTCTCTGAGTGTAACAGTCAGGCCAGGCCTGACCACCATGCTGGGTGTGGCCGCGGGAAGGTTCGGGACCCCCGAACTGTAGCTCATCCAAGCTGGGGTGTGCTGCTTGTGTCGATTTCAGGGACTTAGAAAGATGTAAAATATTTCATTTATATTTTCTGTAATGATTGCACATGAAATGATACTGTTTGATAAAACACATTGGGTTAGATAGAACATATTATTAAAACAATTCCATTTTTATGTTTATAGTGGCTACTATTGATTTATATGGTTTTTCCAGTGGTCATGTATGGATGTGAATTGGACTATAAAGAAAGCTGAGCACTGAAGAATTGATGCTTTTGAACTGTGGTGTTGGAGAAGACTCTTGAGAGCCCCTTGGACTGCAAGGAGATCAAACCGGTGAATACTAAAGGAAATCAGTCTTGAATATTCACTGGAAGGACTGATGTTGAAGCTGAAACTCCAATACTTTGGCCACCTCATGCAAAGAGTTGACTCATTTGAAAAGACCCTGATGCTGGAAAAGATTGAAGGCAGGAAGAGAAGGGAATGACAGAGCATGAGATGGTTGGATGGCATCACCGACTCAATGGACATGGGTTTGGGTGGACTCCGGGAGTTGGTGATGGACAGGGAGGCCTGGAGTGCTGAGGTTCGTGGGGTTGCAAAGAGTTGGACACGACTGAGTGACTGAACTGAACTGAACTGATTTATAGCCGCATGTGTGGCTCTCGTCTTGTCCCCATGGACCACGCCCACCATGACACCTGGTGGGGACAGGGTCGGAGGACCACATGCTGAATCATGACGGTGGGTGCAGGGTCTCTGGAAAAGCTCCTTGTCTGGACTCAGGGGTGATGCCATCTGTTTTGGGGACACACCTGTGTCCACATGAGGGGCCAGGTATTCACAGAGGGTCTGCTGAGACCGAATCTCACTGTGCAGGGGCAGTTTTTTAACATCTTGAGTAAACAAGGAAAGAAAAGAATGAATTTTCATACATTTTTACAAGAAATGTTAGGGAATTCATGTTACTTGATCAGAAGTTTCACAAATGCAAAGCTTCGCATCTGCTTCTCTGTAAACTCAGAGGTAGCACTGTGCATGGGGTCCAGTCCAGCTCCGCCCTTATCACCAGGGCACTCAAGGTGCTGGTTCAGCTTGGCCCCAAGGAGGCTCTGCTCTGAGGCACCCATAGCGTGAGAGGAGGAAGCTGACCGTCAGTGGCATGCGTGAGATACAGGTGAGGGAAGGTTTGTGCAGTTTCACAGACCGAAAGTGCAAGGACATTATCATTTTGTATATAATTTATTTCAAGCTTTATGATTTTCAGCATACAGCTCCTGCATGTATTTTGTAAGACGTAACCCTAAATCTTGGTGCCACTGCAAATGGTATTATGTTTTATTCCAGTCTTCTGCTGTTCGATGCAAGTATACAGAGATACAAGTGTTTGCATTCTGACCTTCTTAAATTTATTAGTTTCAGTATTTTTGTGTGTGTGGATTTTGTTGGTTTCTCTACATAGATGATCCTGTCATATGTGACTAAACAGTTTTGTTTCTTCCATCACAGCATGTATAAATTTATTAATTTTTCTTTCTTTATTCCACAGGCCACAATCTCAGGTACGATGTTGAGAGGAACCAGTGGCAAAGCACACCAGCCCTCATCCAAACCTACAAGAAAAAGCATCCAGCCTTTCCCCACGGGTGTGGTGTCAGCTGTAGAGTCTCCACAGATCCCCTTTATCAGAGTGAGACAGAGCTGTCTATTTTGTTTGCTGAGATTTTTTTTTTTAATTGCAACTGGGTCTTGAATGTTGTCAAAACCTTTTCTGCCTCTATTGAGAGGACCACACGATTTTCCTTTCTCAGTGATGCATGTCACATGTTGATATACAAAAATTCCTAATTTTTGTCACACTAAATATTTATTTCATGAGTAGGTAAAAAATATTTTTCATCATGATCATATTCTACCTATCCCAGGATATGATGGTGTAACACCAGGATATGTACTCATAGGACAACTTTTAATAAACATTCCTGAGGTTCAATTATTTTAAAAGAACATTTTTTTTCAAAATTTAATATTGAGAACTCTAATAGTAACCTATGCAATAAGAAAAAAAAAAGTTGCCCTCGTTCAAATAAGGACCAAACAAGTAGCCCCTTCTCATCATTAATATTTAACACTTTCTGGAAGTTTTGTTAAAATCAATAAGAAAAAAAATCACAGAGACTCCCTAGAGAAAAATAAGTAAAGGGCAGGATTAAGAGATTCCCAGGAGAAAAACAAGTGACCAAAAAAATAGGAAGCGTGTCCAACTTTGCAATCAGAAAATAAATTCAATAGAAGATGATAATGTGATAGCATTCTCTGTCAATTAGGGAATCAAATTTTAAAATAATAATGGTGCCAATGAAGCGAGGAAATTGGCACTCTTTGTGGTACAAATTTTGGGAAAAGATTTTTGCTGAGAGAAGTTAAAGAAATGCTAAATCAACCAACAGATATAAACTGGAGTTCATCAGAAGTTAACAACACCCCCTTTGAAAGACTACTAAGGAAATGCAACGGAAGCCTCTGATAGGGAGAGAGTATTTGCAAAACACACATCTAAGAAGATCTTGGCCAGAATCTATGAGGAGCTCACAATTCAATAATGAGACAAGCAATCTCAGTTTTAAAAGAGTGGGCAAAAGATCTGAACAGACTCCTCACTGGAAAAGATACACAGACAGCAGATAAGCCCATGGAGAAATGCACAACACCATTTCTCATTAGGAAAATTGCAATGAAATCACAAGGAGACAGCACCACACATCTGCTGGAATGACTGGGGTTCTGACCAGTGCTGACAAGTGGAACTCACCCACATTTCTGGAAAAAGTGCCAAATGGTACAGTGACTTTGGAAGACAGGTTGACATTTTCTTACAAAGTTAGCATAAACTTACCATACAATCCTACTCCAGGTATTTACCCAAGGGAAATAAAAGTATACCTTCACCCAAAGAGCCCTGCATTAATGTTTCTATTAGTCTTATGCACAGTGGCCCCAAAGTGAACACAATCCAACTGTCCATCACTGGTGAATGATAAACAAATTGTCAAATATGACACAATAGGATACTACTCAGAAATTAAGGGGCACAAGCTACTTCTGTCTATGCAGCAACATGGGTGAGCCTCAAAAGCACTATGCTGACAGAAGCCAGACCTAAAAGTCTACATATGAGCATACACCTCCAATTAAAAGTGATACACGCACCCCCAAAGCTCACTGCAGCACTGTTTACAACAGCCAAGACATGGGAACAACCTAAGAATCCATCAACAGAGGAATGGATAAAGAATATGTGGTGATACAATGGAATATTACTCAGCCATAAAAAGGCTGAGATATTGCAATTTGCAGCAACATGCATGGACCTAGGGGTGACCATACAGAGTGAAGTAAAGTCAGACAAAGAAAAGCAAATATCACAGGATATCACTTATATGTAGAATTTTTAAAATGATACAAATGAATTTATTTACAAAACAGAAGGAGACTCACAGTTACCAAAGGGGAAAGGTGGTGGGGAGGGATAAATTAGGAGTTCGCAATATACACACTACTACATAAAAAAGAGATAATCAACAAGGACCTACTGTATAGCACATGGAACTCTACTACATATTTTGTAATAACCTTAAGGGAAAAGAATCTGAAAAAGAATGAATATATATATATATAGATATATTTATGTATAACTGAATCATTTTGCTGCACACTTGAGGCTAACATCATAAATGAACTATATTTTGGTTTTTAAGAAGCCCACATATTGTAAGATGCTACTGATGGACTATTTTAAAGGAAATAAACCAGAGGACAGAGATTAAGTCAGTGGCTTCCGGGTCTTGGGAGAGGAAAGAGCCTTTGTTGCAAAGGGCAAGAGGAAATCTGTGAGGTAATGAAAGTGTTTTCTCTATTGGTTGCAGCCACTGTGATTACATGACTAAATGCATTAGCCAAAATTCATCCAACTGTACATTTAATGAGCACATTTTCGTATATATAAGTTACACCTCAATAAACAATGCCCAGGGATAAAGGAGACCAAAGTTCCGAACATGACCTCAAACAGAAACAAAGCGCTTCCTGTGCATCCTTAAAACGGTGCCCGCGGACATCTACTCCTACAGGTCACGGCTTCAGGTCCCCGTGCGTCCTTAAAACAGTGCCCGCGGACATCTACTCCTACAGATCACGGCTTCAGGTCCCTGTGCATCCGCGCTCAGTCGTGTCTGACTCTGTGACCTGTGGACTGCAGCCTTCCAGGCTCCTCTGTCCATGGGATTCTCCAGGCAAGAATACTGGAGTGGGTTGCCATGTCCTCCTCCAGGGGATCTTCCCGATTCAGAGATCGAAACTGGCGTCTCTTATGCCTCCTGCATTGGCCAGTGGGTTCTTCACCACTAGTGCCATCTGGGAAGCCCCCTTTACTGGGTCCTACTAAATGCAAACACCTCCTTAGTGTGGGAAAGGGCAGAACCTTCTCCATCATCAAAGCCTCCTCGCGCTTCCACTGTGTGAAAATTGCAGGCCGTATGAACATCACGTAAAAATGGTTCCGAAAGCCCTACTTCTGGTAAAGGGTCTGGGCCCTTTCAGAAAACAGCTTTGGAAGAACAGTTTAACTAATGACTCTCTGAGGAAGAAGAAAGGAGAAGACTTTGGGGTGTGTTGTACTCAAATATGATAAATGTCCACTAAAATCATAAAGGAACTAAAAATCTGAATTAAAATATGGCAGGCACATACCAAGACCACATAACAATCTATTTAAAACTCAATGAAGATCTCAATAATAAATCCCCCACGTGCCCTTTCTATCACTCCAACTTGCAGTTTCTTATTGTAAAAGCATCTAAGAAGCTCATCTGATCCTAGCTCCTCACTGGTCTATCTGACCAGTTGGCCAAGCATGAGAGAATGATACAACTTCACACAAAGTGTGAATAGGCAGTGTTCTCCTTATATGGTTCTCAGAATTCTTTAAAACTCATCATTTTTTGGACATTACCATAAGCCTATCAGATAATTTGTAGGTCTCATTTCACAAATGAAAAACAATATTTTCCTCTATTTTCTTAGAGGGAAACAGCACTGGTTGTGGGCAGAGGCCACACCAGGTTCCTGACGCTTTTCATCACCTAGTACCGCCCTCCTGGGAGACGGAGCTGGAGGCAAGCATCCCGTCAGGCTGTCTGCGGGGCCTCTTCCCCTCCCGCCACCTGTCCCCATGCGTCCTCTGTCCTGGCTCAGGAGACGGCAGGAAGAAGGGGTGCTTTCTGATTTTCCTAGTCCACCAGGGGAGGGGATCGCCAATCAGGGAATTTCCAGGGGGATGTGGAGTGGTGCACGTGGGGAGCATTCCAACTGGAATTGTGCACCCACCCAAGTCCCTGACTGGTCTTGAGAATCTGGGCATGGAGGTACCTCCAATTATGGTACCTCCCCATAAACATCTGAACTCCAGGGCCTTCCTGGAGGTTCCCCGAGTGGGAGGGGTCTTCCTGTCCACTGTGGTCTCCGCTAGCATCCACCTCTTTGTCTGCAGGCCCAGAAGAGGCACAGCTCTTCTCAGGCTTCCAGATGAGAGCATTTTGTAAAAAGCAGCCCCAACCCGGGCAGAACTGCCCGCTGAGGCCTGGTGAGAGGAGGGCGAGCGGGGCCGCACACAGGGTCCTGGAGAGGCTCCTGGAGACCCGCACCAGCGTCCTGCCATCCAGGCCCGGCTTCAGCCTCCGTGGGGGTGGCCGTGGGCATGGGGCTTCTGCAAGCACTCTGGGCGGGCTTAGCGCACAGTAAACCCTGGAACCCACCGAGCAGCCCCAAGCAGGAGGGCCCAGCCGCTGCCGGGGGAGGGTCCTTCCGGGGACAGGGCTTGGACAGGGCATGCTTGACCACACACAGGCTGGGCTCACCAGATCCCGGAAGTGCTGTGTCACCGGCCCCCTCCTGACATCTGAGAAAGATGTGAGGTGTGGAGCCAGTGCCCCAGAAGGGCCTGGCAGCCAGCTCTTCATGCCGCCTGGACCACCACCCAGACACACACGCAAATCACTCACGTACACAAACACCTGTGAGGGCAGGAGGAGAAGGGGACAGCAGAGGATGAGACGGTTGGATGGCATCACCGGCTCCATGGACATGAGTGTGAGCAAGCTCCGGGAGTTGGTGATGGACAGGGAGGCCTGGCGGGCTGCAGCCCACGGGGTCACAGAGAGTCGGACACGTCTGAGCGACTGAACAGCGATGACACAAACACACCGCATGCACACAGGCACTCATTCACACAGAAAGCACACAGGAACATGGGCACGCCCACACGCTCACGTGTGTACTCACACACACACACATCAGTCCCTCTCTCCTCCTGGGATCCCGTGTCCAACATGGGAAGGTGAGACCACGTCCGGGGGTCCCGGAGGTCACGCAGAGATGCCGGCTCTAGGTGTCAGCAGGTGACGAGCAGCCGCCCTGGGGCCCCCGTCCTCTCTGGAGGACGATGACCCTGTGCCCTGCAGGCCATGTGGCTCTCACCCTCAGACAGGCTGAGACAGAAGGCGTCGGCCATGAAGAGGCAGGATGCTCGTCTCAGCCCCACGTGGGCCGCCCTAAGTGGATTCCCAGGACACGGGATCATTAGGACCAAGTCACAACAGGAGCCCCTGCCAGCTGCCAAGTGGCTCATCCACCTGCCGCCGAAAGCTCCGGGAGGATCCCCCCGCCTCCCTGGACCTCAGAGGCCTCCTTTCAGCCTGGTCTCCTCGGGTCTCAGCCCCTAACCCGGCACCCCTGCCCTCACCATCACCGGGTCACACAGTTCAGAGGATGCCCTTCAGTGCCCAGGTGTGTGTGCTCACGCGGGACGCAGCCAGAGGCGGGGGCCTCAGACGTGTCCCCTCTTTTGCCGACTCCAGCCCCCAGGAGCACGCGTCTGGTCAGCGCTTGTGGGAGGTGTGAATGGGGGAACCCGCAGGCTTCTGTGTGTCTCTGACCCCTCCGTGGGGACCTCACGCCCCTGGTGCCGCGGGACCCCGGAGGTGTCGTGTTTTCTCTCCACCCTGAGCTCAGAGCCAGCAGGACGGGGAGGAGTGGACACCTCACCTTCTCTCGCATTTCCACTTCAGGTGGTGGTTGTGGAGCTGAGTCTCCCAAGGCGAGCCCCGAGTCCAGAGAAGCAGCAAGGTTCTAAAAGGTCCAGGATGGTCACTGGGCCCCGCAACCTCAGGGCCAGATGCCAAGATGAGGGGCCACGTGGTCCAGGCCAGGGAGCTCTCAGCAGAGGGGAGTGATGCTTCCCTCTTGGACTCGGCCAAACCCTGCATTGGTGGAGCCCTGGCTGGGGCTTTCCTCCAGCTCAGAAGTGGGCGAGCCTGGGAGAACCACTTGAACCGTCTTGTACCTCACAGGGCTCACCGCCTCAAAGAGTGCTGCGCCGAGCTTCATTAATTAATGTTTGCAAAGTGCTCTGGGCTCCGGGGATGAAAGGGCACTCGAGCAGTGCAACGTGTTATTATTATTATGAAAATGGATTGGCAGCCGGGCCAGATGCTGAATGCAGATAGAGCCTGATAAAAGATGGGCCACAAAAGAAGAAAAAGTTAATAAGGATGTTTCGGGCGTGCTGCTAATGGTCTCCCTAAAATTACTCCTCTCTCCTGTAATGATGATTTCGAAGAGAGATAGGATCTTAACTGCTTGCAGAACCAAAGGGTATTTCCATGGCAGGACCCAGAGGCAGCTACAAAACAACCCAACCCCAGCCCCGCCTGGCACAGGGCACCGTCACCCATCTCCCAGCTGCAGCAGGATTGAGCTGGGCTTCTTCGATGATTAGAACACAGTTAATGCGTTATCTGGGCCTCCGTGTGGCAAGCTCCATGTTCAAAGGTGCCCTGAGAAAGCCAGCAATGAATGAAGAGTTAAGTGGAGGGAAGCGAATCCTGCAGCACGTGGTCCCAGCTGCAGACGCGAGTGCCCCAGAGCAAGTCCAAACACGCACGTCTTGATTAAATCTTTCTTAAAACCCAGAAGTTAACTGTCTCCTGAAGTATTTGGGGGTGTTGAAACATGTCACAGCTGACAGAAAGTCATGTTTGAAAGTCCTGGCACAAAGTTACACTAGGTCACGTGGATCTCTTCCTGCCCAGGAAGGAAAAACATAAAAAAAAAAAAAAACCCACGCCGCCATGCAAACGCTTTCTTCTCTGCACGCAGTGAAGATGCTCAAGGCTGCAAGTTCTGAGGGGACGAGCCTGCTGCTCTGACCTCAAACGGTCCCAGAGAGATGAGACCCCTTGACTGAGGCCACACGTCTAGGACTGCAAGAGCCTGGTGGTTGGGGGGTTGCCCCAAATCAAAGTTTCAGGAAAGACTCCCCTGCTCTGTTCATTTTTTTAAATTTTATTGGAGTATGGTTGGTTAACAATGCTGTGTTATGCTCAGGACTGCAAAGTGACTCACTTATACATACACAAAAAAATGGATACACGTACGCCTGAGACTGCCTTATACCTGAAGCTAACACATCATTGTAAATCAACGAGAATCCAATACAATTTTTTAAAACCTAGACAAAGGATAAAAAGCAGAGACATCACTTGGCCGACAAAGGTCCATGTAATCAAAGCTATGGTTTTTCCAGTAGTCATGTATGAATGTGAGAGTTGGGCCATAAAGAAGGTTTTTTGAATATTGGTGTTGGAGAAGACTCTTCAGAATCCCTTGGACTACAAGGAGATCAAATCAGTCAATCCTAAAGGAAACTAATACTGAATATTCATTGGAAGGACTGTTGCTGAAGCTCCAGTATTTTGGCCACCTGACGCGAAGAGCTGATTCTTTGGAAAAGAACTTGATGCTGGGAGAGATTGAAGGCAAAAGGAAAAGGGGGTGGCAGAGGATGAGATGGTTGGATGGCATCATTGACTCAATGGACATGAGTTTAAGCAAGCTCTGGGAGACAGTGAGGGACAGAGGAGCCTGGCAGGCTGCAGTCCACGGGGTCACAAACAGTTGGACACGACTTAGTGACTGAATGACAACAACAAAAACAACAAATCCTTTTTCAGATTCTTTTCTCAAATAGGTTATCACAGAATACTGAGCAGAGTCCCTGTGCTATACGCAGGTCCTTGTTAGTTATCCACGCTGTATATAGTAGTGCTGTATAAAAACCCAAACTCCTGTTCCACGCCCCCCATATTTCCCCTTTGGTAACCGTAAGTTACACGTAAGTATATCTGCATCAATGTCTACAAGTCTGTTTTGTAAATACATTCATTTACGTTCATTTTTTTAAAAAATTAGATTCCACACATGAGTAATATCCTGTGATATCAAAGGGCCATCCAACAGCGAGGGGTCCACGGCATGCCATCCCGCTGGACACCATCTGTAACCATGGTGCAGGGCTGTCAGAGTGCCGGCCCGACTCGGCCTCGACCTCGGCTAACCCTGGACAGAAGGTGCAAGCCCACGCTTCACCCACTGGGACGAGGGCTCCAGACGACCGACAGGGGTGGAAAGAGCCTCGGCATCTCCCAGGGCCCAACTCCACATCTGTTGGTCTCCGTGTCGCACGTCATCATCGCTTGTCTTCTAACCTTTCGTCTTCCATCTTCATCCTGATGGCTTCCTCTGAGATGACCATTTCTTCCCTCCTAAGTTGTCACCTTGTCATTGTTGTTTAATCGCTCAGTCGTGTCTGACGCTTTGCGACCCCATGGACTGCAGCCCGCCAGGCTCCTCTGTCCATGGGATTTCCCAGGCAAGAGTACTGGAGTGGGTTGCCATTCCCTTCTCCAAGGGATCGTCCCAACCCAGGAATCGAACCTGCATCTTCTGTGTCTCCTGCATTGGCAGGAGGATTCTTTACCACTGCGCCACCGGGGAGGCCCTCGTGGTCACTTACTTGGTAGAAAGCATGGGATTCATGTTCTCTGTGGTTCTCGGTGGTGATGAGTAAAATTAACACGTGTGTAGTTCTTGCAGTTGTATCTGAAATCTGCAGGGATTTCAGAGTGGCTCTGCATGCATGTGAAAGTGCAAGAGGGTGCAAACCTCTGGACTTCGGTGTACAGCCCCTGAAAGAAAGCATGAAAGGGGAACCTGAGGGGGAGGAAATAAATGCAAGTGAACTTAAGTCATCTGTAAGTATTCACAAGGAAGTGGAGATCAGAAAGCGGCCTTCAGGTCAGCTAGAGACCTCACCCTCGTTTGTAATCGAGCCAGACGGATGGTGACCAGCCCAGGGACGTGAAGACCAGTGGAGGAGGCAGGACCAGGTGTCTGGAAACGGAGCCCACTGTCCTCATAAGGCAACGAGGACGCTGTGTCCCAATGGAATCATCAGTGTTTAAAGAAGTGACCGTTGAAATAGAGTGTCAGCGTGTCTCTTACTAAGACTGCTAAAATTTCATGTTCCTTGGAATTATAGTATCTTGATAAGCTTTGGCAAAGGACACTGAACCAATTTTTTGAGAAACTGTGTCCTTAGCACTGTCATCAGTTCTCCTTAACTTTTGGCCAGTGGAGCCTTTAAGACCAACAGCCAAGTCTCAAGACCAAGGTCAGTTACATGTTACTAACACAGAAGGAACGCTTCATTTCACAGAAGGGATGGGAGCTCCCAAATTTGCCAGAAGGAGAGTTTTTGTACTAGAAGTCATACTTCTCAAGTGGAACTTAACTGTAGCATGCGAGCTGGGATTGTCATATGTCACTGTACATGTGTGTACATTGCCTCCAGACAACCAGAAAGATGGCAGCAGTAATGCTCACGTTACACAAGCACAAGGCTTTGAGATCACCTATGTGCAAGGCGTGACGATTCAGAACATGAAGCACCTGGGGGGCTGGCAGCCTAGGTCCTCGGCCTTGTGAGGCTTCCAGGCCGTGTTGGCTACTCCGGGCTTTCATCTGTTGATACCCAGTAAGTAACATGCTGGGGTTTTGACTGGGCTTGTTGAATCTGTAGCTTCAACTGGGAAGAACTGACATCTTAACAAAACTGCATCTTGTTGAATTTCTTTTTCTTAATATTAACAGGAGGATGATGATTCAATCAAGTCTGACAAGCTCCTTGGGAAATAAAAGGGGTCATGCAAATCTGATGAGATGAAAACCCCAAAAGTCCAAGATCTAAGATGAGAACTGAAATCTGGCTCAGGTAAACCTTTTAACTGAAAAACACACATCATCTAGTATAAAAGCCTTATAAAATCCTCAAATCCATGCTAAATTTCTAAATTTATAGTAACTTATTTATAAATTAACGTATTGAGATTATTTTATAGTTAAACTAACATTAAACTGTCAGATTAAAACAATTTAACGTTTAATTAGCTAAATGGAAGAATGAGTGATTGTCGCACACTGCTGTATCTAAAATGGATCGCTGGGGAGGACTTGTGCACCGCACATGGAGTGTGCTCGCTGCTGCGTGGCGGCCTGGATGGGGGGACTTTGGGAGAGAACGGACACACGTATTCGTATGGCTGACCCTCTCCACTGCTCACCTGAAACTCTCACAACGTTGTTAATCGGCTATGAAAAGTGAGAGTGCTCGTCACTCAGTCGTGTCCGACTCTTTGTGACCCCATGGATTTTAACTCCCCCAGGCTCCTCTGTCCATGAAATTCCCCAGGCAAGAACACTGGAGTGGGTTGCCACTCCCTTCTCCAGGGGATCTTCCCCACCCAGGGATCGAACCTGGGTCTCCTGCACTGCAGGCAGATTCTTCACTGTCTGAGCCACCAGGAAAGCCCATAATCATCTGTATCCTATACAAAATAAAAGCTTAAAAAGTAACGACAATTGATTCTCTAATATTAGTGATTATTTAATAATTAGTGATAATTAAACTCAGCTTAACATATTAGTTTATTTAATAAATTTCTAAATTTAAGTGAATTTCTTTTACATGCACTAAAATACAGTCTCCATCCCATCCTGTGTTATCTATGCTACTTGGATGCTAAACATCTTTTGCACATTTTATGTGCTTTAGCCCTAACTGGTCTGTTGCACAGTGAGCAGCTATCCGTGGTGATTAATCCACAGGACAGGCATTCTCATCACTCGGGGAGCCAGGCTCTGTTTTTTGGGTCGTTCAGACCCTGGGCTCCTGTTGCTGTGAGACATAAGAGCCTGTCTAGCCCTGTCAGGGCGAAGGAAAGCGAAAACGAACTCATCGGTCAGCTGCTGTTTGGGGGCGGTCTGATTATCGCTGTAATGGGAGTAGGCTATCTTATCCATGCGGTCCCTTATCACTGGAAATGAAATCACACCTATTATGTTGTCATGGGGGAAAATGAGGGAGGCGACTGTTGAGAGCGACCTGACCTCCGGTCTGAGGACTCCGACTGCCTCCTGATTTGGGGAAACCAGCTATAAAACACACATTGAAGGCACAGGGAAAACTCATGTGGATCAGATAACAGATGGTACCAGGGAGCTAGTATTACTCATGGTAGGTATTTGTCACTGTGGGTATGAAGAAAATTGTGCCGATATTTTAGAGATGCATATTGAAGAAATTAGGGATAAATGATCAGTATGTCTGAACTTACTCCAAAATGTCACTGCAGAGAAGTAGCTGAAGAAAACATAGCCATGCAGGTCACAGATATTTCAGCATTTACTATTCTTTTCTCTTTATTTTTTCTTTATGTTTGAAAATTTTCATAATGAAAGATAACATACACTTTATTAAAATGGGAAGGTGCTGGATACAATCTCTCGGACACTGGGGAACACGTGGAGACCAGGCAGGAGGCTGAGCTGACGGGTCACTCTTCTAACCAACTCGGACACAGCACACTCACACCTGCATTCTAGACAAGATTCTGAGGCTTTTAAGTCCTTCACAGTCAAGTAATTTCTTCAAGTCCCAGGAAGAAAACTCACAACTGGTTAATATTCAGAGGGTACATTAAAAAAACGGTTCCAGTCTAATGACAGAGGAAAGTTACGTATAGAACTTAACTTGAAAGTGAAAGTCGCTCGGTCGTGTCTGACTCTGCGACCCCGTGGACTATACAGACCATGGAATTCTCCAGGCCAGAATACTGAAGTGGGGAGCCTTTCCCTTCTCCAGGGGATCTTCCCAACCCAGGGATCCAACCCAGGTCTCCCACATTGCAGGCAGATTCTCTACCAGCTGAGCCACAAGGGAAGCCTGAACTTGACTAAAAACCACAGAAATCACAAAAGAATCAGCGCTCTGACTCTGGGGGTGACGTCACTGTCCACTAGTCCGTCAGCTCATGAATGTCTGTCTGTCCGTCTGTCTCTCTCCCTCTTTCTCTCTGGTCTATGCCCCGTGACAAGTACCCATCGGAACAGGCTACTCAGGTGCCACTGTGACCTTCTCAGGCCCCAGGTAGCAACTGCCCTTCAGAGGGGCCAGGCTCCCAAGGCCTGGCTCAAGCATCCTGCCCCACCCCACTGGGTTGCGTGGTTCCGACCGCCTGTCACCACTGGACCTGCCGTCCCTGGGCCTGAGCCTCATCCATCCCTCTCCATGTGGCCACACAGGTACACGTGTGTGTACACATGCTACCTGCTCCCAGCACCCTGTGAATCCCCACTTGCGCTTGGAAACCATCCTGCCATCTCCCCCGGGATGCTTCCGACAGCCTCCAGGAAGGCCAGGTACCTCCACCTCCTGCGTGCTCCCAGAATCGTGTGGAGCCCGAACCTGTGAACCCACCCTGGGCCTGAAAGAGCCAGTGTGTGCAGCGGGGCCTCCCCCTCCCTCTCTGCACCACCCAGCCTCATCTCAGTGCTGATGCCCGGGGACAGCGTCCTACCTCGAACTCAAGTGAAACTAACCTGGGAAATGCTGTCATGCAGATCACGTCAAGGGAGCCCAGAGGTAGATGTTCTCAGGTCAAAGTCTTCCCACGGTCCTCAACCCCCACCCACATGCCCTTTGCTTCTTGGAGGGTTGATGTTTTCTATTCCCAATTTTAAATTTTAGTTGGTTTCCTCACAACCTCCCAGATGTTAAAAAAAAAAAAAAAGGAGGTAGGACCTATGGTTTTAAGGTGCTACACAGGTGGTACTAGTGGGAAAGAACCTGGCTGTCAATGCAGGAAACGTAAGAGACACGGGTTCTGTCCCTGAGTCAGGAAGATCCGCTGGAGGAGGGCATGGCAACCTGCTCTAGTACTCTTGCCTGGAGAATTCCATGGATAGAGGAGCCTGGCAGGTTACAGACTATGGGGTCGCAGAGTCAGACATGACTGAGCGACTTAGCACACGTGGGATTTACGATCTTACTAAGTAGCTATCTGTAGAAATACACATGGATGTTCATCGGGTTAGATCTCCCATCCGTGTCTTCTGGTTTAACAAGAGGTGCCTTGCCATCCTTTGAAAAAACAAAAAAAGAGGTGCAAGGACAGATGTCTCCAGGCAGTAATTTCTGTACCATCACAGGAAGGACGATGCCACGGCTGAGAAGGACAAAGCTCGTGTCTACCCCACCAGCAGCAGAGAGGAGACTGCTCTGACAGTCCCGGTTCTCGTATTTGCTTGGCTTCCGAGAGCTGGTATTTGGGGACGTGCCCAGAATTCTGACGCC